CGCTGAGTGACATTTCTCTGGGCCCAGGCCTCCCCTCCGCCTGCTCCAGAAGAGAGCCATCTGCCTGGGTTTGAAGCCTCATTCTCCTACCTACATGTGCTTTGTGTCCTTTTGCAAGTTACTTCACCTCTCTGGGCCTCAGTTTCCTCAACAATAAGATGGGGATAATCAGGGTGGTCGTGGGGATGAAATGAGTTAAGTGTTTCAAGCCCAGTAGAGTGAGAGGTCAATAAATATTCACAATGGTTATTTGTCCTCTGTTTGGGGCTCTGGGTCTTGTAACATCAGAAGCAGGGGCTGAAATCACACTGATCCTGGACTGCAGAAACTCCACCAGGCCAGGCCACACATGGGTCAGAGCTGGTTCCTGCCCTCGGCCAACTCTCAGTCTGGTAGAGGAGACAGGAAACCCCAACAGAAAGAGGGTGTAACCACTCTTTGGCTGCTTGAGAGGAATGGTGTGTCTGGCAAGATGGCTAAGGGTAGGGGACATGAGTAAGAGGCAGCAATGGAGAAAGCAGGGTCAGAGCAAGGTGAGGCCCTGGGTGTGAGTGGGGTTGTAAGGCTGTAGTGGGAGTGGGCTGGGGCACAGGAAGAGTCCAGGCCACTTGCTCTTCCTTCCCTGGTACCATCCTGAATCCCAGCCCGGACATTTACTTGGTCTTCCAGGAGACCTATGAAGTCTTTCCACCCCCACCCAATAACCAGTCTCTAATGCTAACTGTGTCTGAAATCCTAATGACCCTCCCATGTCCACTGCCACTACCCTGGCCAAGTCTTCCTGCCAAGATTCACAAAAGCTGTCTTCCCAGTATCCCAAAAGCCCAGCCCTGTCCACTTTAGGTCCAGATAACAGCTGGCTTCCCAGGTCCCTACAAGGCCCTACCTCACCAGAGGCCTCTTTACAGCTCTCCCTGTGTATTTGAGCTGCACACATGCCCTGTGGCCAGGCAGGATGGTGTGCTAGCAGCAGCAGCCCAGCCTGTCCAAACAGGCTCCAGATGCCCGGCTGCTTACCTGTGGATGGCCTGCCCTGCGGGTGTGTGCTCCACCTCCAGCCCTGCCTGCCGCAGGACGTCGATGACAGTGTTGTTCCCCAGAAAGTGACCTGGAACACAAGAGACAGCGTGGTTTCAGACACATGCCAGGCTACCAGTAACAGGGCATGGTCTTGGGTCATCCCTGGGTTTGTGCCTGAGCCAGTAACCTATATCAAAGTAGAGGCCTCGGCCTTCTCAGAGGCATCATGACATACTGGGCAAGAAGTGGCCCAAGTCCTGCTGTTGCTCTCCAGTTGAACCTCAGTTTCCCCATCTGTTAAGTGGAAATAATGGTAGTAGCAAACTCCATGGTTGCTGTGAGAATATCGGGGAACAGTGTTTAGCATGTAGTAAGGACTTACAAGGAGCTCTGGTAGCGTAGTGGTTACGAATTGGGCTATGAACCGCAAGGCCAGCAGTTTGAAACTACCAGCTGTTCCGCGGGAGAAAGATGAGGCGTTCTGCTCCCGTAAAGATTTACAGCCTCGGAAACCCTATTACAGGGTCGCTATGAGTCGGAACCGACTCCACAGCACTTAACAACAACAACAAGGACTTACAAGCATTACCTACTGTATCACTGAGCTGACCCCAGACCTGGACATGGACAGTCCAGGCTGGGACAGATCCCTGTAGTCACACAAGGCCTAACTCAGAACGCCCCATGAGAAACTTGCTTTGAACCCCCCAACCATCTGTGCTCATCCTTCTAAGCTCCAGCTGCAATTCTTGCATCCTTCCCTTAGTGCAGGAGTGAGGTTCTTGGTGTCTGTTTCCTGGATCATGGTTCCATTGCCCTGCACATGTTCTGTGCATGTAACGGGGTCCAAGCATTCCTAGAGTCATTTATTCACCATTCATCCAATACTTATGGCGACCAGGATCTGGATAGTCACAGGGGACTCAGAGAGGTAAAATCTCATCAGGGAAGATTGACAAACCTCACTGACAAAGACAGCAGCATAAAGGAGGTGCAAACATAGAACTGAACCCTCCAGAGGAAACCTAGCTGTGTGTGGGGGAAAGGAGGTGGTCTCCACTAGCTTCCTTGCCCATTATTAATTCATTCACTTAGGATGCACTTGCTCTGTGCTGGGCGCTAAGGGTAAAGAAGTGAATGGTTTGGTGCAGAATTCCCTTCTCATCAGATACAGGCTTAAGTCTGAGAAGACAAAACGAAGCTCTCCCAGACTCTGGTTCAGAAGAGTCCTCAGACCCAATGAACTGCAGACATAGCAGTGGCTGGGAGTCAGCACACTGCCAAACCCTCTTCCTCTCTGGGGTTCAGTCTTCCTCCTGTTCAATGTGGAGAAGAGTAGGGGTGGCTGGCTGGCTCTGCAGCCCCACTCATGGGCAGACTAGACTCTCTCCTCCTGCTCACCATTCATCCCAGAGCCTGGGCTGGGGGGAAAAACTCGGCTCTCTGACTCTAATTGCCTGTGACGGGTGGTGACAGGTGGGAAGCTGGAAGGTCAGCATGTTGACAGCCCTAGGGAGGTCTGAGGAGAACAGAAAGTGGACGAGCTGCAGGGGATGGAGAGATTCCATGGAAAGGGGGCGAGGCTGGGACTGCATTGTGGTTGGACACAGCGTATACACCTCCAGCTTTCCAGCACCACTGGGCTATCTCTGTGACTCCCTAGGGTCTCACAGCCCAGTAAGTTTGCTCTAACTGGCCTGCCACTGTTCTTGCACCTCAGAGTCACTGCAAAAATGCACGGGACTCAGCAAGCGGCACTTGGGTTCTAGACCAGGATCTGCCATACACACTCTGAGATCTTGGGCAGAGTCTTCCCCTCTGATGCCCTCAGTTTCTCTCGCTGCAAAATGGAGGGGCTGGGCTGTCGGATACCTATGGTCTTCTCAAGCTCTGAGGAAGGCTTTTGTTTGACTCCAGCTACCCTTATAGAAATATATTTTTCCTTACTCCGTCCTTCCCTCCCTTCATTTACGTCATTCATTTTAACAAGCAATGACTGAGTGCATATCTTGTTCTGGGCAGTGGTCCTGGCCCAACACTCAGTCTAGAGAATCAGGTGGTTTCAACCCAGGACTAAGCAGAGGGAAACACAGGAGGCGAGGGGACACATAGGGGCATCTAGTCCAACCTGGGACTCAGGGCAGATTTTCTGAAGGAGATATTGCTAGCTATCGGATGGGAGGAGAATTTACTAGTGAGGATGGGAATGGAAGGGCACCCAGGGGTAGGAACAGCATGTGCAGAGGCTTGGAGGCCAGCTATAGTAAGGCATGTTTGGGAAGCTGACAGCAGCAGCGATAAAGACAATGCAGGCATACAGCTCTGACCCTGCCCAGCACTTTGTAGACAGAACAGACCAAGTCTCCCACTCTGTGTGATCCTGAGCAAGTGAATTCCCTGTCCTAGCCTCAGTTTTCCCTTTGACAGAGATTTAGGGATGGCTGTAACACTCTAAGGAGGAAGAAAAATTGGGTGTCCTTTGGAAAAACTCGGAGTGCTGTCTTGAAAGATGAACAGTTCCCCCCTACAGTGGGGCCAGGGCCACCGAGGCACGTCACTCTTGTTTGCCCCCAGAACACAGTCAGGGGAGCTGAAAGGAGGCTCGGAGTGACAGCCACCAGGGTACCGGCTGCAGGACCTTCCTGCCAGCAGCTCTAGGAATCCACTGCTGGCCACAGAGGCAATTCCTTCTGTGCCTCCATGGAAACCTGTTTAAAGACAAGGGCCTCACACCCACCCCAAAACTAGTCCCTGTGTCTGCCCAGCGGACTTCAAGAGCTGCCAGGGAAAACTGCCCTGTTTCCGGCTGTACCAGAGCAGCAGTTCCAAATATTTACGGAGGGCTGTGTGGCTCTCCAAAAAAAGCATTCACCCACAGGGGTCCTTGCCCCAGGCTTCACAGCATGCCTGCTGGGCCCTAAGTAGCAACTAATCAAACATCTGTCTGGGGCCTTCATCCACTCCTCAACAGTTTCAGACCTTTATTGCTTGTCTTATGACCTTCAATAGAAGACTTCACCTGCTTGGGAAAATGCAAGCAATCAAAACAGATTCTTTCAAATTCCCATCCCCTAAGCACTAGACTGCAAAGTCAATTTGAACAGCAAGGTCGATGGTTCAAATTCACCAGCTGCTCCTCGGCAACACTATATAGGGTCACTATGAGTCAGAACCAGCTCGATGGCACTTAATGAATACAGCATTTTTCTAAGAAAGTGGTTCTAGTGGAGCTATGGGATATGCAGTGGATTACTAACCGTATGGCTGATGGTTCAAACTCACCAGCCACTCCTTGGGAGAAAGATGCTAAAGATTTACCAACTCAGAAACCTTAATACAGGGTCTCAATGATTTGGAATCAACTCCATGGTAATGAGTTTGGTTTCATTTATTTATCCAAGAAGGAACCCTATTGGTGCGGTAGTTAAAGTGCTCAGGCTGTTAATCTGAGTCCCTGGGTGGTATAAATGGTTAATGCTAATTGAAAGGGCAGAGGTTCAAGTCCACCCAGGGGCACCTTGGAAGAAAGGTCTGAAGATTTACTACTGAAAACCCTGTGGAGCACCGTTCTACTCTGAGTCACATGAGTCCGAGTCTACATCAACTGGTGGTGCTTGCCTCAGCCATGGCCACAGTCAGTTCCTCAGATCAGCATCTCTTGCCTGAATCCCTGCAGGACCCACTCTACTGGTTCTCCTTAGTTGGCCCTCCACTCTGCTGCCAGAGTGATCTTCCTACAGTGTCATTGCAAGTGACCTGAAGGAAGACCTCTTGGAAGGCAGGGACCATGCCTGACTCATCTTTGTCCCTAGGGCTAGAGAGAAGTCTGGCATAAGGTGGTGGTTTAGTGAAGGTTTGTTGAATGAATGAGTGACAAAACCCGTTATTCCATATCCTTTCCATGATCTCATCCTATCCTCAGGAGACCTGAGCTCACAGATCCCCTCCTCTTGCAGCCTCAGTCCCAACCCTTGGTGATGCTCCTCCGGATTCCACCAATCCCAGGAGGTTGGTTGGCCCGTGGACCCGCCCTGGGTCAGGGCTCAGCACATGCTGTCCCCAGGGGTAAGCAGACATGACTGGGGCTTGCCTCCAAGGTCAGAAATCCTGTAAAAGGCTCCACACCCATCCTGGAACCTGTAGGGAAGGTTGTGGCATGTTTCCAAAGGGGCCCCACAGTACTGGGGCTTAGTCTGTGTGGCTTGCCCAGGCTCCCTGGGTCTCCTGGCCACTGCTCAGCAGTGCCTTCCAGCACTGACAGCTGTTCTCTGGCCAGCTCTCGGCAGGAAGACATGTTCCATTTCATCTGTTGAAGCAGTGTGGACGTGGAGAGGAGGACTGAGAGGGAGGGCAGTGGGGGGTAGGGACATACAGAGACAGGAAGAGAGAAAATATCCAGAGAGAGGCAGAGAGACAAGCAGAGACACTCAGAGAGAAACAAGGAGGAGGAAGAGAGATGCAGGGAGTACAAAGACAAGAAGAGAGACACAAGGGGCACAGGGACACACAGAGCTCCAGAGACAGTGGTCGGGAGAGTGTGGAAAGAAGAGACTCTGGGACAAAGAGAGAAAGGCAGAAAGAGAAACAAGACATCAGGAAGAGACAAGGACAGGAGAAAAAGATACAAAGAGGCAGACCTAGAGAGGGAGGAGGGAAAAGGAGGAAGAGGAGAAAGAAGACAGTGAACCCTGCAATGAAAGCAAGAAGCAAGGTGGAGGAGAGGGTAATTCCACTGGGGGCATCATGGAAGACTTCCTGGAGGAGGGGTGGGATTCAGATGGAGATGGAGGAGAAGGCAGTCAGGGAAGAGAAGTTACTAGAAAAATGTCTGAAGGAGGGATAACAGTTCTGAAAAATGGTAGGGCTGGTTTGGGACCATCTCCTTTGACACCTAAGCCAGGACCTTGCTTAAAGGAGAGTGAAGTGTCCAGGCAGTGTCTGTGCTGTTTCAATGCAGAGGAAAAGGTTTCCTTCTTCTGGATGCAGACAGCCTGTGCCAAGGCATGAGGCTCGGGGAGTAGAATACAGGAGGGATCCAGTTGCTCCACATCTCTTGAACATAGATGGACAACTCCAATGGACCAGGTA